GAGACAGTTTGGGGAAAGCACAGTCACTTGCCTCAAAGCTGGTTGAGGAGGAAATSGGACTTGGGCCAGATATTTCTGTATGCTTTGAAGTCTTTGTATTTTTACTTTGCTTTTCTACTAAAGAATTTGGTTTGTTGTTTTACATAATGGAAGTACACAATGTATCAACTAAAGACGCTGGGTGTGTTCATTGAAAATACACTAGAGCTCATTCATTTCAAGCATAACCTACAACCTGGTAGGTGTCTTCTATTCAGCCCAATTTTGAACATTTCCAGGGCTGTTCTCAGCCATTCAGACAAGAGTGAAGCAAATCCAAGCTGCTTGTCTAAAAATGAGGATATTTAAATGAACATATTTGTAGAGATGGAACAATCTGTTTCTTGTATCTCAGGAATACTGCATCCAAGAAAGTCATCTTTCAGAAATGAGGAAGAAATAACAACTTGCCCAGACAAAAGATTGTGAAATCAATTACCTCTGGACACACCCTATAGGTTTTGTGAAAGAGAGGTATTTAAGTGAAACAAAGACACTAATAAAATAAAACATGTTAAAGTACAAAAGTCAATGATATAAATAAAACTACAACTGAAATAAATTTTCATGATAAATTCAAACATAAAATTCATGCATGAATTCTGATATCAAAAAAAATAATGCATGAGGATATAGTACAGAATTTTTATATGTGATTAAAGTTATTAATAGGCTGGTTAAGTATAAAATGTTATAAGTATACTTTATGGTAACAACATAGCAAAAATCTTTAATAGAAGCACAAAACAAAAATWGAAAGAATTCAAAGCAAACCATGACAGAAAACCATCAAAGCACAAAGGAAGACATCAAGAGGGGAAGAATAAAGAAGGTATTTTAAAAACAACCAGAAAACAACTGTCAAAATGGCATCAGTAAATACCTCAATATCAGTAATTGTCTTGAATATAAATGGATTAAATCCTCCAACAAAAAGGACAGTGACCAGATTAGAAAACAAGAGCCACGTATATATGTTTCCCACAGGAGACTCATCTTGTTTTTAAAGATGTATGTAGATTGAAGATGAAGGGATGGAAATAGATATTGTACACAAATGAAAACCAAGAGAACAGAGGCAGCTCTCATTATATCAGAAAACAGAATTTAAATTAAATAACTAAAAAAGAGACATCCTACTAGGAAAGGCAGATATGAAACAGTCTGTTCAATGATGACATGATCTTACCCCATAGATTTTCCTGCAAGATGGTTAGAACTAGCAARCATATATGGTAGAATTGCAGGATACAAAATCAACATGCAAAATTCTCTATACACTCACACTGAATTGTTCAAAAAAAAAAAAAGAAATCAAGAAAACAACCCATGGATAGTAGTTATAACAAGGTAAAACCTATGAGAATAAATTTAACTGAAGTGTTGTTTCCAGGACACTAAAATCTATAAGACACTGATGAAAGAAATTGAAGATGACACAAACACAAAAAAAAGATACCCAATGATCACAGTTTGGAAGAAGTAATATTGTCAAAATATCCATGCTAATCAAAGTGATATACTGGTTCAGTGAAATCACTATCAAAATTCCAACATCATTCTTCAGACAGGGAAAAAAGTAAAAAATTCACATAAAACAAACAAAAAACTGGATCAACGTAATCATGAGTGGAAAGAAAAAAAGCTGGAGATGTAACCCCAGTCTTCTTCAAAGTACACTAAAAACTATGGTAGTTAAAATAACACACTATTGGAAGAAAAGAATCAACACATCCATCAATGAACACACTAGACAGCCCAGATGTAAACCCAGGCATGTGAAGTCAACTGATTTTTGACAAAGATGCTAAGAATACAAAATGGGAAAAGAGAGTCTCTTGGATAAAGAATATTAAGAAAGTGGATTTTTGACCGGAAGAAATAGGAAATTGAAACTCATATCACACCATAAACAAAAATTACTAAAGAAAATGGATGAAAGACTTAGAAGTAACATGAGATTCAAAGACTGATAGAAGAAAACAGAGGAAAAAAAAACATTGACCACTAGTCTGGGCAATGACTCTGGATTTGATTCCCAAATTGAGGACAACCCAGTGAAAACTGAAAATGAGATTTCATGGAACTGTACAGCTCCTTCAAGCAAGGGAAACAAGGAACAGTGTGCAAAAACAACCTGCAAACCGGGAGAAAAGGTTTGCAAGCGATAATGCATTAAAGAGTTAAATATAAGCTCTGCAGGGCCTTTGGACAACAGCAAGGAAACAAAACAGCCAATTTAAAAGTGGGTAAGGGCTCTGCATGAATGTTTCTGAAAATAAATCGTATTAATGGACAACAGGTAGATGAGAACGTGCTCAAATCACTAATCACTGGAAAAACACAAACTATAGCTACAATGAGGTATCACCCACCCAGTCCAAATGATTTTTATCAAAAACAATGGAAAAGGAAAAAGGGTGATCTGGCACCATGGGACACATGTGTGATCCCAACAGCTCAGGAGGCTGAGGCTGGAGGATCATAAATTCAAAGCCATCATTGGCAACTTAGCAAGGTCCTGTCTCGAAACAAAAAGGGCTAGGGATGTAGTTCAGTGGTGGAGTACCCCTGAGCTCAATTCCAGGTATCAAAATAAAAGGGAAAAATATTAACCAAGATAAAAAGAAAAGAGAACACTTTAATACTGTTAGTACAGATGTAAAACAAGATGATTGGTTGTTGAAAAACTAAAAACAGAATTACCATGTAATCCAGCAACCCCACTTCTGAGTATCTACCCAAAAGATTTGAAAGCAGTTTGTTGGAGAGATCTCTTCAACCCCATGTTCACTGTAGAACTACTCACAAGAGCCAAATCATGAAATTAACTATGTCCATCAACAGATGAAAAGATAAAGAAAATGTGGTAGAGAAACACAATGGAATTCTATTTAGTTTTTAAAAAGAAAAGAATGATACCATTTTAGATAACGTGTTGAAATGGGGACCAACATGCTGAGAGAGATAAGGCTCAGAAAGACAAGTACCACATGTGACAACTTATAGCTCAAATAGAAGTCACAGAAGAAAGAATAAAATTTTGATAACAGGCAAGAGATGAGGAGGAAAGGAGGTTGATGGTAAAAGAGTACAAAATACCAGTTGGGGAAACGTTGGTCTTCGCTTTTGATGTTGTTCTACTGGACAGTGTGGTAAACACAGTTGATAATAGAGTGTTTTGCACTGAATAGTTACTGAAAGGAAATGTCAAGTGTTCTCCCTGCAAAAAGTGCCAAGTATTTCAGGAGATGGGTCCCATAACCAGTTTGATGGAATTATTGAACAATGTATTCATAAATCATAACCACACTGCACTCCATAAGTTTATGCAAATATTGTTTGTCAATTTGTGATTTTAAAAAGTTCTATGAATGTGTTCCCTCTCCTTCTCTGTCTCCCCTCTCTGAACATCTTATTGCACTGTATGTGCTCACCCTCCACTTTCTTTGCCCATAGGTGACTGGATATTGAGAGGTAGCAGTGTCCCTATCCTATGCAACCTCTGTGCCTTACCTCTGTGACCACGGGCCACAGTCACAGATGGGATACAAAAAAACACATCTCCAACCAACTCCAGGAAGAGGTCTTTGATTTTGACAGGGTCGTCTGTYCCTCTAAAATTCTTCTCAGTGGCCATTTGAGTCAGTTCGTCTTGGACCTCCTAAAATGCATCAAGAAAGAGATCCCCAACCTGGAGAGCCATGCAGAAGGCTCCCTGGATGTGAACCTCCTGGGCCCTGTGCAAATCCCTCCTGGGGTGGCAGGGAGGGAAAGGCAGACAGATGGGGAAGGAACACAGGTGTCAGGTTTTCTTCTGCCATTGAGTTGGTCTGGGACTCAGAGCAAGGCCAGCTGTTCTTTGTTTCTCAGTCAATTCCCATAACTCTTTCGACTTCTTACCAGAAGAGAGCCAGTCTTCTGCAGGAGTGATGTGGCTGTCTTCTGGTCCAGCTTGCCTTCAGAGATGGGAAATCCCATCATCTATTAAAAAAGGGGTTAAGCATTTCTGAATCATCAGGAATTAACAAGAAGAACCTAGCAAGCCAATGCCTGTGAAGGTCCTCTTGGGGTCTTGATGTGCAGGTGCATTCATTAGTTTGAAAAAATTTCAAGGAAATGGACTTGTATATAGAAACTCAAGGTATATAAAAGGGATGACTTGAACATATAAACACCAGGCTAGGGGGCACATGGTCATCCGGTCACTGAGGGAAATTGAATCCAGGGTAGTGCTGAAGCAGAGAGCTCAGAACAAGAGAGCACAGGCCATTACCCCACACACTCCAATGTCTCCGGGAAGTCAAAATCCATCATGATGAATTTTTTCCTTTCGCATAACCTCTAATATCCTTCTGAAGTGAGAACTGCAGAACTCCCAACCTGTGAAGATGCTGTTCAACCTCTTCACTCTAACCAACTTTTGCCCACCTTTTTTAGCCTAAAGCCATGGACAAGGATGACCCTAGGACCTCTTGAAGCACCTACATAAGAATTCTCAATGCTTTCCAGTCAAAATGGGATCTTCTCCAGCCAAAACCTGGCTTTTTGGAGCCAATGTAACTAACATATAAGCAACTTCCTCTAACTCTTTCCAGAGAAGTGCCTGGGAGCACCCATGGGAACCCCTAGGACCTGTGAGTCYAAGCCCAAGGAAGAAGTTGCTGTGCCCAGATCTAGCTCTCCTGCTTCTTTTCCTCTAGACCTCATCAGTGTGGACTATTATGGATTCTGCAGACCCGCCCATCCTGAACATGTCAGTATTCGTAATTAGGAAGATAATCAATGAGTGCTTGGGGAGAAGGGTTCACAGGTACCAGTCAAGGGAGCTGTACTATCCCAGAAAGATTTACAAAGAAATGTCCAGTGTCCACTCAGACCAGTGGTGAAGTTTCCCAGACTCAGAGTGGGCCTTGGAGAAAAGAGACATTCTGGGTCCAGATGTCAGAGGGAAGATGGGGGAGGAGGAGGAGTCTGTGTAAGAGGTCTGTACAWTCTCACCGTGGGCAAAATCCAGCCAAACTCTTGCTTGTTGATTCCCACAATGTAGGGGACAGTGTTGAA